GGCGCTGAGCCTGTCGCTGAAGTCACGTGATCAGCGTGGGACTTGCGAGTTGGACTTCCCGCGGTTCGGGTTGTTTTCTAGCCTGATCAAAAAGTGGAGTCAAAACCATATGATCTGTTGAAAATTACAGAATTCCTCCCGAGATGGCCATTGACGAGGCCTTTTTCTTGTGACGTCAAACATTGATTCACGACTATGACCAGCTGTTTTCAAACATTTTGAACATCTGCGTTCAAGCTGCTACGAATCTGTCAATGCGATCTGGGGCGTCGTCCGGTCGCTCGTCGATGCACTAGAACCGGTAATTTGTTTGGTGCGATCTGCTGTAGTTTCTCTGCCATATGATGAATTTCATACGCCAAGACGTCCATATCCGAGATTATTCCAGCCTGCACCCCTCCATACGTCAGCGTGAGGCTGGCGTCAATCGCTACATGCAAAGAGAAAAAGAGTAAAATACCAAACATGAAAAAAGTTCAGTGTTGAATATCAACACCTTTCAACAACCAATGCCAACGAGCTATGCCAACAGGAAATCAATTAAAGGTACAGCACCTACTGGGCTCACGTCGCTACTGTAGCTGCTTCGCGATGCGTATGCGCGAGATACATCGTGCCCCACACTATCGAATTGGCAAGCGATGAACGCGACGGCCAAGTGCCGGACATGCAATCGCGTAATAGTAGCTGCCTTGATCGCAACAGCAGGAAGGTTCGTCAACGTCGTGCGAAACACTCGGTTGATCCAAAGCCTGTACATGACGCAAGCGCGCAAGATCGGCCAGAGGGCGCGGATGGACGATTTGTGGTCCGAGAAGGCATGTCGACAGCGTCATAGAGAAAGCCAGCAACCGACACTGCAGTTGCATTTGCAAGATATCTCGAAAAACGCACAAGACCGCGCGGACGTATGGACAACGCACCAGAAGATGGTTGAACGTTTCGCGGGCTTCCGCATCGCAGAGAGGGCAGTGGTGAGCATCGGGGCTGAGACAACACTGCTAATGCGGTGGTTTCTTTTCCTCGTGAAAAGCAAGCTCGTCTGACTCCCCAGTACTAAGCTGCTGTTCGGTCACGACTTCTTCGATATCATTCAAAACAACCGATCAATCCATAGCGATAAATCGTTTTGTGCGTTGTCCCTGGCAGCCAATGCGCCCGTTATGTCAATCAACCTGTTCCAATTGCGTGGTGTTGAAGCGGCACGCATCACCAGCTCACAAGTCCCACGCTGATCACGTGACTTCAGCGACAGGCGCCGGGCCGTTGTTTGCAGTGCGAACAGCGGCAAAGACCACACGTTCGAATCGACCACCCACTGGTTCAGGTTGTGTCACAATTCCTGGCGCAACACACTGCCACGTCATGTGATTCGGTGGTGCATTCGCTTCGTATGATCACCAGCTGGTGGTTTTGAATGATAGCGCCATCATTAGGTTTGCTTCTCAAATACTAACACAGCAAGTAGATAGGTGCTGTAGTCGCGTCCAGTGTTGAGAAACGGAGGAAGCTTGGACAAGAGCTAGCGAGAACTCCATTGCCACCTCAAGTGTAAGAGCATGGGCGCAGCTATAAACAAAGGAATAGAAAATGGGCTAGCTAATGGGCTACACAAAAGCTTCAATTTCTGAGCACGTCCTTGCTGTACAGCGTGGGGTATTTGAAATACATCTACCTCGCTTCCATCATCGTCAATCTCTTCTACCGTAATCGATGACGTGCCGCATAATCCTCGACACTCGTCAAGCCGTCACCTTTAGCGCACTTGCTAATGCCCTTATTCGATCAACTATTCGTTGGTC